AAGAGAAATGATTGACGTGGCGGGGGGGGGGCTCGAAACAGCCAAGCCGGATGAAACCGGGTAATTGCTTGGAGGGGAAACCACGAGGAGATCCCAACGGTGTGAGAAACAGATTGTAGCGACAGAAGAGTCTTAAGAGCGGCTGGCCCCGAGGTCCTCCACCGAGTTTTTCTCAAAGCTGCTTTTTCAGGAGGCAACTGGACTTTCTTATTTTTCTTTGAAAAGGTTTCGCTTCTCATCCAAAGAAGCTGCTTCAGCTCTGACTGGATGGTAGGGAGTGGAAGGATCCTTTGTGACAACCTTTGTGACAACCATGACCTGGATGACTGAGAATCTCCACAGACACCCAGTCTTTCCCTCCCCACCCCTTTGCTGATGAACCCTTTGCTCCCTATATCTGGCTCTTTGCCCGCCCTCTGGCATGTTTGGGGAGCCTGGATTGGCCTTGTGACCAGCATCAAAGAGTCTGCTTGCAAGGAAGGGACAGAAACCTGCCCCCCTCCCACGAGAAAGCAGAATATCTTGACCTTCCCCCTCCCTTTGCAGACCTTTACTAATGTAGGGAGAATTTGAGGGGCCAAACCTGGCTGGGCAGGGACTGCTTGATACCCCCTCTCCAGTTTAGGAAGGGGGATAAGAACTTGCGGATTCCAGATAGGTGTGGGTGTTAACCATGGCAACGAAAGAAATGGAGGGATGAGTTGAGAATGAGACTGGCAGAATGAGGGGAGGGAAGCCCAGTCCAGGAACAGCCTGCCCCTTTGGGTGGTCACCTCCCCACCTGGCTGCCCCCCTGCCTTGCAGGACACCCCTTCTCAATCTACAAAAGGAGCCATGGGGGAAGAGGTCTAGGGCAGTGGTTCTCAACCTTTTTAATGCCGTGACCCCAACCGGTCGTAAGTCGAGGACTAAACCGGTCGTAAGTCGAGGACTAAACCAGTCGTAAGTCGAGGACTACTCAACCGGTCGTAAGTCAAGGACTTTCCCTGCCCGTGGTTCCGCCCCCTGCGCCGGCCGAGGCGTAGCTGGCAAGCGGCAGAGACGGAGCAGGCCGACCACCAGCTGGCCCAGCCCAAGGGAGGTAAGGCACCCGCCGGAAAAGGGGAAAAAAATGGCGGACAAAAAAAATGGCGGACAGCCTTGCTTGGCGATCCCCATGAAATGGTCGATCGACCCCAAATGGGGTCCCGACCCACAGGTTGAGAACCACTGGTCTAGGGGGTCCTGGCTTGCAATTAGAAGGTGAACTCCCCCCCCTTCCAGGAATTTCACCTTCCCCAACTTCAGAGCAGTTCTCAGTGGCCCTGGGGGGTGTCCTCCCCCAAAAGAGCTGATTTGCCTCATGATGCATCAGGAAGGCCTTCTTGTTNAGGACCCAGGGCAGCAGGACTCCTGTGCTGGTGAGCAGGCGAGGAGAGGGCCCTTTGCTGAGTGCTCGAAGCCGCCTCCTCGTTGGAGGAAGACCTGACTCCCCTCTTCCCCAAGTTCCTCCCAGCCACAGTGGATGATAATGGGATAATTAGATGCGAGGGATCATTGCAGATGCTGCTGCTGTTGCCTAGCAACGAATGGTTTCCATAGACACAGTGAACCACAGCCTGCTAAGCAGTAAGTGAGCAGGAAGTCAGGGAGAGAGGAAACCCCCATCATCCACTCCCGGCTGGCCGTGGGTGTTGAGGAGGAAGGAGGCGGGGAAGGCTGCAGGGAAGGAAGCCACTCCAGGCCCTTTTGGCTAGAAGCCAGCCTCCAACAGGGCTCCTGGCTGGGCCTCTGGTGGTGGGAATGTGAGGATCCACCACCCCAACCTTGCTTTGTGGAGACAGCACCAGGTGTGGCCCTATCTCTGGGGTGTGTGTGGCCTGAAGCTTTCTCCATCACAGTCTGAGCAATCTCTAAGCCCGGGGTGGGGGTGTAAGAGACAGGGAGAAGTTTCTTCCCCAGACATGCAGAGCACATTTCACTCCTAATGACAGACCCTAAACCAAAAATCCAAGTCAAATGGGGCATCATGGCTTCAGGTTTTGGAACTGACCAGGTGAAGCGAAGCGCTCCTCACCTGCCTGTCCAGGCCCGCCAGATTCAGTTTCCGCTGCTTAGCCTGAAGGGAGATTTATTCTCTGATTAGACATTGAGGTCCATGGAGTAATCATCTTTCAAAAATCCAGAATTGGCTTGTAAATTATCCTTCTAGAGTTGTTTCATGGAAGTGTTGGTCAAATTGCAGCTGACAAATTTTGTTTATTTTATACAAAGATTTCTCTGTATTATTCCTGTCAGACAGCCAGTTTTGTGATTGAGGAGGTATAAAAATACCATAGCCTAATAAAAAAGAAACAAAGCAAGAGCATAATGGATTTACAGAGGCTCTCCTGCCTTTCTTTTCCCTTCCTGAGGAAGAACCTCCTTCGGAGACAGTCTCTTCTAAAAAGAAGCAACCTCTGCTCTTTTCTTGCTTTCCTCATATGCAAATTAATGCAGATTTACTCAGCAACCCTAAGCACAAACTAAACCAAGGAGAGAGAGAGGCAGCAGAGGTGCCGCCACCATGGGGTCACTGGCAGAATGCCTGCCAGCTGGAGGGAGGGAAGGAGGAAATCCCACCCGCAAGGAAAGGGCAGCCCACCGTGCCTGGGGAGTCTGCCAGGTAGCCCCTGCCCCCTACCAGGCAGAGGGAGGTGGGGGGCATGACTCTCAGCCTCCCTTCTCCCAAGTGCAGTGCCATGTATTTCCCCCATCCCCATCAAAGCCCTATCGCCCATCTGACCCCAGAGTCCAGGACAGACTCCTCCGCACCTGCTCGGCCCAGAGGGAAAGAGGCCTGGCCGGACTCTGCATCTGGGCCAAGAGTGGGAGAAAGAGCCCAAAAGGGGGCTCCTCCCATGAGTGGCACCATGACAGTATCTCGGGAGGCCATTGGCTCTGGTACAAAAATGGGGAAGGGCTGGCATATAAATAATACCTAAATTCTAATCCCTTTTACCTACATGAGCCATTTTGATGTTTTGTAAAATATAGTATCTATAACTTGCCTTGTTTTGATGGTATGTATACTTTAGTGTAGAAAAGCAATGGAAGACCAACATAATTATGAATTAATAGAGCTTCCTTTAATATGCTTTAAATTTTTATTACCAGTGATGTTTTAAGCTGCCTATGGCATCTCATAGCAAGTGGAGAAAAAATAGGTCTGAAAATGGAGACACTCCCACAGCCCAAAGGAAGAGACCAGTCAGGATTTAGCCTCCATTTGACTGATTTTCAGTGAGAAAGTCTGAGGAAGGGGGCAAGGTTCAGAATGAACAGTTGTCATATGAAATGTTTTACTACTCACATTTTTTTACTTCCTCTGAATCTTTAATTTTCAGTGACTTTGGAAAACTGAACAACTATTTTTATTGAGAGGAAGATTTTTACCTTTTTACATATTCATTTTGGTGTATTTCATTTGATCCAAATACAGAACTACTACTGCATCTTAGCCATTTTATGTATCATTTAAAATGACAACATAGTAAACACAATCTACTTTTCAATTTGACCATATTTTGATAATTTTTTAAAAACAAAATCCCATTTTTTTAGGCTTAGGGCTAAGGTCATTTAGGCCTTTACATCTCTATGATAATAAGGAGACCTTTTCCTATCCCATTCCTCTCAGTGATAGTGCTTGTTGAAATGCAGGCAATGGGTCAACCTATAGAACAATGGTCTGCTCTGAATTGACCTGCCCACAGCCTGTGTAACTGTGGTGGCATCTGTGTACCACATTCATCTTGGATAGGTTTGTTGTGAATCAGTCCAGAAAGTAGGATAGTTCAACATCCAAATGACTTTGTGTCCACATAATGTGTGATGGTCCTTGTTCTGAATGGCATCCTGTGCGGCAAAAGAACCCATGTGTGCCACCAGTGGAAGTTTGGAGATGGTCTCGGAACACAAAGGACCCAGGAGGGAAAGGGGTGGGCAATGCACTGCAGCTTATTGAGATTACACAACTTCCTTGTCTCCACTCTCACCTGTGTGGGATTAAGTCACTAGAGAAGCATCCTATTCCCTGAGTGGAGGGTTCTTTGCCCTGGACCATGTGCAGAGTGCTGGCCCCTCAGCACATACCTGGGCAAACTCCAGCCACCTTTGCTTCTCGACAACTCACCAGCAGAGAGGGAAGCCTGGGAGCAGAAGGACGGCCTCTCCTCTCGGAGGATGAAATGTGAGCAAGAACCTGCTTATGCTTGGCCTGACAAAGATGTCATAGCCAGGCCCAGCTGTGTCTCTGACTGGGTGGAGGGTGAGGGGATGAGTCTGGTGTTAGAAGAGGGTTGGAAGCCTGGACTTGGACACAAGATCTGCTTGGCAGAAGAAGATAGATGCAGAAGACAAACTGCCCCTGGAATTTGAAGGGGCTGCAAAAAAACAGCTCCTGCACACCATTAATATGCTTTGCTCATCTGGCACAGTAAGGCAGCTTTGTATCTCTCTCTCTCTGCCTCCCTCCCAATCCAGAGTAGGGTTGCCCAAGACCCCCCCCCTTCCTTGGCCATCTGGTCCTCGCCTGGCTACCCAAGCCTGCCATTGCATTCCTGGGGCTAATGGTCATAAATCTGAGCTTTAATGGGAGAAACACATAAATTCTGTTCCCAAGGCACACTTGTTCATGATTAGCTGAACCATGGTTTACTGAACCCAAGTTTCCAAGCTTACACAATGTTAAAACCATGGCCAAGTGTAGAGTGTGGGTTTGAACAATATCTCAACTAAACTGAAGTTTATCTCGACTGAGATGAAACGGTTGTGTGAAAAGGGAAACAAGCTGCAGAGCTTTCCCGATAACCTCGCCCGCCCCCTACTGTGTCTCTTCTACCGTCCCCACAAACCAGAAGTCGGGAATGCGAAACAATTTTGGCGGCGGCGCGCAGAGCGCTTAAAGGGACGAGCGCCCCAGGACGGCCCGGCTCGCCCTGAAACCCTCGGGCCGCGCAAGTGGTGCGCACGGCAGCCGGATGGACTTGCGGCTGCGGAGACCGGCCTTCTGGGCCCGGCTCCACCTGCGGAGCGGCCTCCAGGGCTGGGACCTGGCCCGGGAACTGGCCCTCGATGCCACCTGTGACCAGCTGCCCCCAGGTGAGGCGGCCCCTGCTGGAGCCGCCCCGACCGCTGACTCGCCCTTCCCCGCCTCTTTCGAGGGGCGGCGGGTGACCCGGGTTGCTTTCGGCCCGGCCGTTCCTTTGGATCAGCCTCCGTCGCGGACGGGAAAGGGCGGGACAGCCGGCGTGTTTGTGTCCCTGCCGGAGGCCAGCCGCCTAACCGCCTCTCTCCCCAGTTGCTGAGGAGGCCCTCCCGACGGCGCAGCTCGACCAGGCGGCCGGCGGCCTGGCCGAGGCCCTTCGCCCTTCCCTCTCGGAGGCTCGCGGTAAGCGAGGAGGGACCGAGTGACGTTGGGCCTCGCCTGGGGCCCCGGCCTTGCCCGAAAAGCTCGGAATAAAGCAGCGAGAACCCCGGTCCTGCGGGGTTCTCGCGGATGCCCAACGAGGTTAGGGGCGAGCGGCGGCGTTGCTGAGCTAAGCCTGAGCTGCTGCTTTCCCCTGCAGAGACTGCCGGGCAGCCGCACCTGTGGATGTGGGTGGACCCCAACCTCGTCTGCCCCATCCCCGGACACGCCGCGGGGCTGCCTTCCCTGCCTGGGCCTCCTCCCCGCGCTGCTCCAGAGGCTCCGTCCTGCAACCCAGCCCGCTTCGGAGACTTCCGCCCGGGAGAAGAGGTGCCACCAGGCGCTCAGGCTGCGTCCCCCCTGCGAGAGGAGCATGAAACTTCGGAGAATGCTGGGGCGGGGCCTATAGGCGGGTGGGGGGTGCTTTGCAGAAGCTGCTTTCTTTGTGGCAGCCTTCCTGATTAAGTTTAAAACCCGCCCTCCACCTTTCCCTGGGCACGGAGTGTTGCTGAAGCACAAACAGTGGGTAGAAGTGAGAGTGAGGGGCAAGGAGTCTGAGGCAAGGGGGACCCTTGCCAGCCCCGGTCCAAGTCTTCCCTGGGACAGCTGTGGGCCCTGCCCCAGAGCCCCCAGAGCCAGTTCCTCTTTCTGCTGGCCCCTCTCCTGCATTTACCAGTTTTTCCCATTGGCTCAAATGTGCCCGTCTTGCACTTGCCAGGATCCTGGGAGTGCCACTGAAGCCAAATCCACCCTGCTTCCAAAAGAGGACACCTGGAGCCCCCACCAGGCATGCCAGAATGCAAAGGGAATCCAATTCCGCAGCAGGAAGCTGCGAGCCCAGGGTGGCTGGCCTCGCCCCCCTCTCAATTATTGCATCTTGATTAGCCTTGCCCTGAGCAGCAGTGAAGACAGCAGCCTGACTGTGCAGGAGATCTACAAGTTCACCAGGTACAGCTCTTGCAGCTGAGCAGCATCCGGGCAGACGACAGGGTGCTGGGAGAGGGGAGGACTTTCCTTCCTTGCCCTTTCTGCTCTTAGTGGCCTTGTAGCAGAGGGCTTCCTGCTCCATCGAGAGCATTATGGTCTGGCCACCAGTGACCCTGTGGAGGCGGGCCTGGCCCTTACCAGGGTGTGATGCTGGGACTCTGGCCCTTTGCCTTCTTGGCAGGCACCACTTCCCCTTCTTCCGCACGGCTCCGGAAGGCTGGAAAAACACTGTCCGGCACAACCTCTGCTTCAGCAGCAGCTTTGAGAAGACCACAGACTTTGTGTGCCTTGAAGGGAACCGCAAGTCCCGCCTGTGGAAGTTAACCACAGAGGGCCGCCGGAAGTTTCAGGAGGAGGCGCAGGCCCTACCAGAGGATATGATGGGCTTGGTGCACCAGAGCATGGACAAGCCAGGTGGGCCCTTCCCTCCTGCCTCCTGGTTGGATGTGGGTGCTCCAGGCTGGGGGCGGGGCACTCCCAGAGGAAGGATTGGTTGAGGAAGAAATTGGACCCAACATCCTGTCTGCTGTGAGCAGGCTGAACCACCTGGCAGTGCCAGATTCTGGGAGGGCTGCCTAATCCCTTGCCATGGGGTTTCTTGGCAGACCTGGTGAACCAACATCCTCATCTCCCTTCCCCAGAATTAATGCAGTCTCTCTTTCGCCTCTGATCCTTGGTTTGGAAGACTGGCAGAGATGGCTGTTTAACGGAGCTCCCAAGGAGGATTTGACTTTTGCCAAGGGGAAGAAGATAAATTTTCCAGGGATGGGCAATCTGTGAGGCTCTGCACATCGCCTGCTTGGCCCTCGGCTGGGAAGGCACTGAGCAAGGGAGCTTCATCCTGATTGGGAGGCTGTTGGTTGGCCTTTTCCCTGAAAGAAGGGAAGATGATCCTCATTTGGTTTTCTGTTGAAATTTCTGTTTGAAGCAGTAAAAGCAGTAAAAGTTAATTTTCTCAATTCTCAACCTAGAGAAGAATCTTGGCATTCCAATAAATGCATTCAAAGAGCAACGTGATATGATTGTTTGTGGAGTTTGTTTATATTGTCCCTCCTCTTGAAACAGGAATTATCTCAGAAGGAACTTTTATTGAGATAGTTTTCCGGCGTGAAATGTTACATTAAATTAAACTATCCCCTTCCCAAACCCCACCTCAACGGCCAAATGTCCAGTTTGACCTCATCCAATTCTTAGGTGCGAAGTTGTTATGGGAACCAAAGTGATAAGCGCCATTCCCAGGTGCCGTTCCGGAGTTTCGTTTCTCTCTCATCCTCCTCCCATCGAGGTGCAAGTAAGGCATTCCTTCTTCCGTTCACACCCAGAGGCATCAACGGGATAACGAACAAAGTGGAGGAAACCCAAAAACCCCCCTCCCCCAGACTGGCAGCCCCGGCAGCCAAGAGCCGGCCTCCCCCTCCCAATCAGAAGGACAGACCCGAAAGCGGAACAAAGAAGCAGATGAAAAGACATAAAGGCTGAGGGTCTGGTACGCCTCCATGTTGCCACGGGGGAAGCTACCGAGGCACAATTTTGCTGCTTGGAAGTGTCCTCCGCGCCGCCCGAAGGACCCTAAGACCCATCGGTCGCAGCGACCGCCCACCCGGCCGCCGAGGAGGAGCTTAGCGGGCGGCCCCTCCCCGCCCGCGGCGCAGCCGCTCCGCCCATCGGGACCGCCAAGCAGGGGGCGGGGCGCGGGCGTGCTGACGTCACTGGAAGAAAGCGCCGCAAGATGGCGGCGGTCCGGGCGGCTACGGTATTCCGCTGCCAGCTGTGCCGCCGCAGCGCCTTCGCAGGCCGCCGGAGCCACCTGTACAGCGCGGGGCACCAGCGGCGGCTGCGCGCGGCCCTGGCCCGGCTGGGCGAGAAGGTGCGCGGGGCGGGGGCCGGCTCGGGCGGGGGCCGGCTCGGNCCCCGCTTCCCCCGGGCAGGTGGCGGCGGCGCGGGCGGCGGCGCGGCGAGCGGAGGTGCTGCCCTTCCAGGCCGGCGAGCACGAGCGGCGCGCCTGGTGCCCCTGCTGCGCGCGGGAGGTCCGGCGCCACCTGAGCCGCGGCGCGCGGACAGTGCTGCACGGCGGCCTCCTGCAGCACCTGGCCAGGTGAGGGGACGGGCGGGGAGGGTGGAGGGCTGCTGCGCCGCGCCTACCCGGCGGCGGGCGAACGACACCCTCTTGCTTCCCCGCAGCCCGGAGCACGGGAGAGCCGTGGCCGCCTTCTGGAGGAAAAATAGGGCAGACCCCAAGCTGAAGGCCAACTTCCTACTGTCCGCGGCGGAGTATCGGCGGTGAGTGGCCCGGCCGGGCGGAAGCCCCTATGCCGGCTCGCCTGCTTCCCCGGTGGCGCTCCCCCCCCCCGCGCTGGGCTGCTGTGACCCGGGCGAAGCTGGTCTGAGGGGGAGTTGGCAGCCTTCCGTGTGCCAGTCCATACAGCCATTCTTAAAAAACATGTTTCTGAGGAGGCTGAGGGGCTGTGCCAGGCTCCGGGGAGCCCAGACTGTATCCCCATGCCGCCAAGTTAAGTCACCACTGCATCAATGATGGGCTGCTTTGCACTTCCAGCTTTCAGGAGTCTCTCTGCAAAGCCCTGGATGCTTATGAAGAGAAGGAAGACGTGGCCATCCAGGAGGTAGGAGAGAGGGGGGGTGTCCAAGTGGTTCATGGAGGCAAAAGGTCCTGACTTCAGTTCTGAGTTCTTTATAGTCCATCTTCCTTCATTGCAGGCTGCAGCTCATATCCGAAACATGGAACAGAAGAGACGAGAGATGGTTCAGGCCATCTTAGAGGTTTGTGTGCCCAAGTTCAGAGTGGGCAGTATCCATCATTGTGTTTGCAACGGTTTTTGCAGAATCTTCCCACCTAGCTCCTTCTTTGCCCATCTTTCCCTCGCTGCATTTAAACAAAGCCATTTGCCAACTTCATTCCTCTTCCCCAGAAAATAACAGGCCTTGCAAGTACAGTGGATGTTTTCCCTCATCCCAAGCACCTTCCTGCAAGTAGGTATTGTGCCAGGCATTGGGGCTTTGCTTTTTATTTAGCTCCAATTTAAATCACGCTGTAAAGCGACTGGTGGGAAGCAAATTGGGGTCCTTTGAGATCTGCAGGTGCTGAAATGCTCTTTCTGGCACAAGATCTTTCCCCTCTATCACTTACTTTTTATATTTCTTTGTGGCAGCCTTCCCTCCTTAGCCCTTCTTCCCCCTCTCAATAGCTAAAAATGGTTCAGGAGTTTTAAGGTATTACTTATGGTCTGGCCCATGTATTATTTCAAATAGTAATTTACAAATTTAACTATTATAAAGTTAAAAAAAAATTCCCTGGGGAAATGCTCTTGGGTTAGGGGTAATTCCTTTGCTGGCATCTGTGCCTGAGTGATTTAGTGGAATCTGCTCCATCTTAAAACTCTCCAGATTACATTTCAAGGTATCTCCTATATTGCAAAGTATGTTGTTGTCTCTTGAAACCAGTGTTTTTTTCCTGAATTAAACTCAGCCACAGAGAGCGGACACACGAGGTGATGGATCCACTGCTGTCAACACCTTTACAGGGAATTTAAGGTAGGAGTTACCTTAGAGGTTTTCTTGCTTCTGTATTCCTGTACTATTCCTGGCAAAATCCTCTTCACATTACCTTAGTGCTGAGTCTGTTTGCTTGCGCTGACAAATGTTCTATGTTGTAGTGATTCTCCTTTTGCTATGGAAGAGCAGGAACAGCCTGGGTCCAGCTGGAACACTTTTCTTCGAGAAGACCCTAGTTGTGCCAGCAGGACTGTGCCTGAGCTACAGTACACTGAAACAGGGCAGCCCTTAACTTTCATTGGCCACCAGGTACTCCATTAGGAATTCCCTTTTGCCTTTCATCCCCAGTGAGTTTCTGCCCTGGGTGCGGTCTCCTATCTTACTCTGTTTCCCACGAATTTTGAAGAGGGAAAAGGGATGCTGTCCATTACTACCTGCTGGATTGGGGAGCCGATACTTTTGACTGCAGGACTCACAATCCCCTTTGAAACTTTTGCTTGTGGCTTTTTTCAGGTTTCCAGTCCCCTACAGTACTAATTTGGGATTTTCCTTCATTGTTTCAAATGCAGGAAACAGGCAGGGAGGGCAACGTTCACACAGGTAGGTTGGAGTCGGCTTTCTGAAATGCCTGCTGAGCCTGGCTTTGCCCCTGATGGACACTTGACTTGGGAGGGAAAAGAATATCTATACTGAAACAATATAGTGAAGCGTTAATTTGCCAACTACATTTTAACCTAATGTTTGTACAAATCTTAAAAATGAGGTTAACCATGAAATGCATACTGCTGTACATGGTGGTGTGGCAGATGCAGTTTTGTAAATAGTTCTCATTATGGCCAATGTAACTTGGGCACATGAAAAGAAACACATGAGGGCTTTCCTGATTTGTCCACCTTTCAATCTTGAGGAGCAAAACCTCCCTGGCTGATGAATGAAGAGAAGGAAGGCGAGAGGCAGATTGGACCTTCCTATGAAGAATTCCTTAAGGAAAGTGAGTGTGCAAGGGCTTGGCCCTGTGGGGTCCAGCAGGCAGAACTGAGCAAAGAATGACTTGATGTTTTGTTCTTCTGTCCTCTTTAAAGAACAGAAGCAGAAATTGAAACAGCTCCCACCCAACCGTGTTGGGGCTAACTTTGACCACTCGTGTCAGACAGGAGATGGTTGGCTTCCTTCCTTTGGGCGCGTTTGGAATCATGGTAGAAGATGGCAATCCAGGTAAACACACGCCTTCCTCTGAGAAGGCCAGAGGCAACGACTAACGCCATTAATATATTTAGATGACTTTTGTCTCTCCCCGTGTTGCTAGACAGCTGTGTGTGTGGGGGGGCGGGGGGGTTGGCTGCCACCCCATCCTTCTCATTTATTCTGAATTTGTTGAATTGTTGCTTGGGATAATTTATGAATTGACTTATTTCATACATTCCACTTTATTAATTTAACTGATTAAATTATTGGAATCTTCTCTGTAGCTTCCTAAATCTAATGATTGCTAATATGAACATTTATATTTGCATGGCCGCCCATCTCCCCCAAAGCGGACCCTGGAAATGCATAATAAATAAAATATATGGTCAGAAGAGCTTATGTATGGGTCCTGGAACCTCCCATTGCAGAAGAGAATAGAAGGAATCCAGCCTCTCAAGTTCCTATCCTCGATGTAAGAAAATAAACTGTTTCAACTTGCTGTCTTTGGCACTGCTTTTTTCTAGACATCAGTTCAAAGCTGAATCCGGAAATAAGCAGCCTGGGTCCAAAAGGAAAAGGCCTCGAACCAGCTAAAAGGTCCGCATTCCCAAGACAGCTTGGCAGAATTCACAGCTGTGGAAGACTTTGTAGTGGCTCCAGAGTAAAACTGAGCTCTGCTCTTGTAACCTTTATGTCCCTTAAGGGTATAATTGTATTAAAATTACATTTATTATAATAAAACTGGTATTTATAATTGAATTTTATTAAAAACTATGGTTGCCAATAAATGCATGCTGCTACTACAAAATATTAAAAGCAAGGTGCATTTGTGTTTAAGATCCACAAAGCAAATAGGAGATTGCAGAAAATATTGCCATCAAAGTTAGGAGCTCATCTATGACTTTCTATATATCCCTTGTTTATTCAAGTTGTTCAAACTTATTTATCAAGATAGACACTAGCTTGCATACTTGCACTGCCCACACCGTTATACAGTTGGTGCTTTCATTTTATTCATTTTATTTTCATGTACCCAAATTCTGTAAAAGTTTTTGCCATTCAAAAACAGTAAAGCCATTTTACCCCTAGTATAATTATTAGCATTTGCTCAGATCATTACAAAGTCTCAAAGAGTTTAATCAATTTATTTTCATGTCTATACAATTAACTCTGAAAGCCATTTGAAAATCTGCAAAGCAAACCAAAGAAGAAATTAGGTCTCTCTGATGCAATGTAGTCGGTCAACCCAAGTTCTCTTTGGCCATGTGGAGCTGTACTGGTCTTCTGGGCTCACCTTTTTAAGCATCCTCTCCTGCAGCTGGTGCATCACCTCCCTTAGTGTTTCGGGTGTAGATGACCTGTGCTCTGTGCTTGGAGACCAGTTTAATTAGACCTGCCAGGAGAAAACACACATCAGAGGATCACAAGCCTCCCTGAAAGCAAGCAGGAGAATTTGGGGAAGGGAGGCCCGTGGGCTGCAGTTTCAAGGTGGACAGCCAGGCGAGTGGGGTGTCTCCCGCCTCTCACCTTTGCCCAGGAGCTCCTGCAGCGCAGCGCGCGCGAGCGACCCCCGGATCTTCAGCCTCTCTGAGACCACGGCGGGCGTGATGAGCTTGTAGTTGGGCACCTCCTTGCAGAGCTTGTCGTAAGTGGCTTTGTCGAAGAGGACCAGGTTGTTCAGCTTGTCTCTCACCTTCCCCTTGGACCACTTCTGCTCGCGGGGAGAGAAGGCCGTCAGGGCCGCCGACACCCCCCGCCCCCCCGCCCGCCCCTCGCCGGCCCGGCGCCCACCTTCTTCTTGGCTTTGCCGCCGGACTTGTTGACGGGGTCCTTGTCCTTCTTGGCGGACTTGCCCGCGTCCTTCTTCTTCTTGTCGTCTTTGGGCGGCTGCGAGGAAGCGAGAGAGCCAGAAGGGTCAGCCGCCTCCCGGCCAGCCACCTACCCGGCCACCCGGCCCAGGGCCTACCTACCATGGCGCAGCTGGCGGCGAAACGTGCTCCTCCTGGGCGGCTTCCGGCTGGAAAGGAAGGCGGCAGTCCGCGCAGGCCGGAAGCCCCCCGGCCGAGCGCACTTCCGGCCGGCCCCGGAAGAGGCGTGGCGCCCCAACGCCTACGGGTGCCGCGATGGCCATCTTCAGCGTCTTCGTGGTGAACAAGGCCGGCGGGCTCGTCTATCAGCTGGACCACTACGCGCCGCGAGCCGAGGCCGAGAAGACCTTCAGCTTCCCGCTGGACCTGGTGCTGCGCGCGCACGACGAGCGCGTACTCGTGGCTTTCGGGCAGCGCGACGGCATCCGCGGTGAGCCCGGGGAGCCCGGCGCGGGGCGGCGGCGGCGGGCGGCGGGCGGCGGGCGGCGGGCGGGAGGNCGTCCCCGCAGTGGGTCACGCCGTGCTGGCCATCAACGGCGCCGACGTGAACGGGCGCCTGACCGCCGACGGGAAGGACGTGCAGGAGTTCCTGGGAAACCCGGCCAACTACCCGGCGGCGATCCGCTTCGGCCGTCCGCGGCTCTCCTCCAACGAGAAGCTGATGCTGGCCTCCATGTTCCACTCGTGAGTCGGCGGGGAGGGCGGGGTCCCCGGGCGCCCCCCCCACCGGCCCCCGGCCCACCGGCGCCCCGCTTGTCGCGCAGGCTCTTCGCCATCGGGTCGCAGCTCTCCCCTGAGCAGGGCAGCTCCGGCATCGAGGTGCTGGAGACGGACACCTTCAAGCTGCACTGCTTCCAGACGCTGACAGGTAGCCGCGGCCGGGCCGAGGGCGGCGGGCACTGGGCCTCCAGCCCCCCCTCGGCCTGGCTCTGCCCTTCCCTCCACAGGGATCAAGTTCGTGGTGCTGGCTGACCCTCGGCAGGCCGGCATCGAGGCCCTTCTTCGCAAGATCTACGAGATCTACTCGGACTTCGCCCTGAAAAACCCCTTCTATTCCCTGGAGATGCCAATCAGGTGCCCCTGAAGCCCCTTCAGCCTTGCAAAGCCTCTCCGGGCGGCCCCGTCCACTTTGGGTGGCTGTCCTAATTCCAAAAGGGGTCCTGGCGCTTGGCCTGAGCCTGTGGGGTGTACTGGCCGCCCAGGGAGGAAGCCTCGGACCCCCGATTGGTTTCCTCTCTCGTTCTTGTAATTCAGGGGTGCTGCTAGAAACGTGGTGCTCTTTCCTTCCTAGTTTCCTCCATAGTGTCAGTACATCAACATACACAAGATCTGCAAGTAAGAACGAATAAGGAATCTTCTTCAAGGCACACTGAAGTCTTCTTTATGTGCCATCTTATACATACTTATGCAATAAGTATGCAGAGACAATGCTGAATTCAAAGATTTATATGAAAAAAAAATCCTTGGTAAAGATAGAATGAAAAATGTGGATATATGAGCATGGGTGGCCTTTTATTCTAAGTCTGCTTCTCTTGTGCTCCTATTTCAGATGTGAGCTCTTTGATCAGAACTTGAAGCTTGCACTGGAGGCGGCAGAGAAGGCGGCAGGCCCCTTTGTCCCCGGGTTATAGGGCCAGGTTCTCCCACTTCTGTTGGGACCGGAAAGGCTTCCCTGCTACTTCGGTCAGCCCTCGACCCCATCCTTGTTTGGACAGCCTCTGCTGCCAGGAGTTGGAAGGAAACCTTGTTGGCTGCATGTACACAGTTAATGTATGCTTCACACTTTGTTTATTGCATGCGGAAATAAAATTTATTTAAAGAAAGAAGACTTTAATCTTGACTTTAGGATAAATTGTCCAACAACAACATTTATTATTATGTGCTAGCCAGATGTTTAGACTGAATTTATCAATTTTATCCACCTATTAAATCCTTCCCAAGGACCTGGGATAGGTCGATGTTATTGTTATTAGATGCCACCTGTTTCCCAGCAACTCTTCAGCAGGGGAGATATAACTTTTACTGGAAAATTCTTTATTTTTGTTGACACACACATTCCATACAACAGTCATAATTTAGAATCTATTATAGGAAATGTAACAAGATTTATTCCTAAAGGCATCTAATTACATTTGGAGAGCTTCACGGCTGCAGAACAGTTAGGCAGTTCCAACCCCAGCAGTTAAACACTGCTTTTCTTCTGTTAAAGATATGGGACATTGAACACCTGTTTATACTGATGCTTGTGATATAATCAAGAAAGTTTGATCTGAGGGTTGCCCTTTCTCAAATTCTAAAAGTAGTTTTTAGTCCACTTCTAAACTTACCCACTATTGACTGAAGCTAAATAAAGTAAAAGCATGGTTCCCTTCTTTTCCATTTCCTGTTTGTTTATATCTGAGTGAAATTTGTGGGAAGATTTGGAAAATGTCATTTGAAAATCTAATGGAGGAAATGAGGGAAGAACACATACCAAAAGGGGGTGTAAGCGAAGCAATTCTTCAAAGTGAAACTTCTATTCAGCTGCTCTGTCCCCACTGCTGGGCGCTGCCAGTAAATCCAGCAGAGGCTGTGACAGGCAAATGTTTGCTCATGAGTTCCAACTACTAAGGGCATCCATTAGGTTTTGAAGGATGAGACCTGGCAGTAGCAACCAGATGAGATTTTGCCACCACTTTATAAAGGCAGGCAGTAAACCTGCTTAGAGCTATCTTTTTTTCTTTCTGAAGTTCTAGCTGTGGATCAAGAAGGCTCCTTTGCAGCCAAGTCATGCGGCCCTTCAGTCAATTTTCTTTGGCACACGACCCATTTTGGTGCAGATATTTCTCAGAAGGAAAAAGGCTACAGTGCTGGCTATGCAGATCAACTCCACTGCCCAGAAGGCTGTTCCCCAGCTATAGTGTTTGGCAATTGTGCTGAAAGGCAGACCAGCCAGGAAGCCTCCAACTGAAAAGAGAGAAAGGGAGTTGAGTGCAAGGTGGGCTTTTATCCTCAATCGGTTCCAATTCTGTTTTCACATACCGTTGGCCATTAGAGCAACGATGGCATGAGAGGTGCCACACAGGTTGGACGGTGCACTCTCATTGGCTATTACGCCAAACAGAGCAATTGGCCCATAAGAACAGAATCCAAAGACGGCTCCCAACAGCAAGATCCAGAGCTACAAAAACAGCAGGACAAAAGGTTAGGTGTACGATTAGGGTACCTTCCCCTACTACCTGCACTTGCCATGGATTCCTTTTCCTCATCACTGTCTGCAAAATGGTGCCTTATGAAGCACAGCAAGGTTTAATCTTTTCTTCAGTTAATTGTTTCTCAGTAACCCATTAAGAAAGTGAGAAATAACAGCACCCCAGCCAACTGCTATTTTAAGGTAACTTTTAGATCAGAGTACTAAAATATCAAATCTAACTGCAATATAAGGATAGCATAACTAGGGAAGTGTAAGGAGAACTGTTTCTGCAGAGGGGGGTCTCCCACTTCTATGGCTAGAAGCTAGTGCTAATGACCCTGCACCTAGCACCAAGTGGGTGGGTGAAGCAACATAAAATGATTGACATAATCTGTGTGTGTGTGTGTGTGAGAGAGAGAGAGAGAGAGAGAGAGAGAGAGAACAAAGACCTCATGTTCTGTAAAGCCCACAACATCAGCCAGAGGGTAGAGGAATTGATTCCAAGAGTAATTTCCCTGGGGAAAAAAGAAGGGAAATGAGCAAGGAGCAAGGAGCGAATGTCTGGAAAAGACAAAGCACAGTAATAATTGTATGCAGAAGCAGAAACCCCAGAAGGGGAAAACCCTTACCAGTAATTTTCCAAAGCACCTTTGCTAGCTAAAATTTTTAAATTAATGGCAGAAGACCTATTATCCCCCATCTGAAGATTCCCCGTCCTTGGAATTCTCAGAAAGCTTTTTGAGCTGAAGCCAGAGGAGGAAACACCTCAGTTTTGGGAGGAACCCATAACTGGCCTTTGTGGCTTCAATAGATGGGCTTGTAATTGCCAAAAGTTCAGGAAGCAAAGAATCTATCCAGGAAATGAATTTCACCCTGATTTCAGAAACTCAGTTTTGTTTCTTTGAAAATTGCAAAACTTTGTTTTGTTCTATTAAAATTTGTTTCTAAAAACACAGTTCATTTTAATTGTGGAAATCCTCACAAGATGTGGCATTTACCTAAAGGTAAAAGCATTCAGAATGGCCACCTTTCACTATCTACTCAAACAGGGACAATATAAATGAGATGAGATTGGGGGGAAAAAAACAATTCCCTCTTGGAGAGCAACAGCTTGGACTCCCTTCAATGCCCGTCTGGTATAACTGAGCCTCCTTCCTATGGTTTACCTTGGCAGAGCTGTCAGTTACTGTGACTCGGAAGAGGAACAAGGAGGCAGCCATGCCGGCCATCATTAGGATGAGCAGGGGATGCCGAGGGTTTCCGTAGATTGAGAGACCTACCTGCAACTCACATACACACACACATGTGGATCCAAAATGAAGTGCTGTTACGAAGCATCTTGTCAACCCATCCCAGACAAAATCATCTCTGTCTTGGCATCCAGGCAGGACCTATGTAGGGTTTCAAGGCTGCCTTTTCTCCTTCATGCTTACCCTGGCCACTGCACGGTCTGAAAGGTAGCCAGCAGCAATGCTGCCCACCAGGCCACCAATTTCCAAGGCGCTCATGTAGGAACTGCCTAAGAGCAAAGAGCACAGTGACAATTCCAGCGAGGGTGCATCCCTGCCTGTTGCATGGCCACTCCTGACGCCTCCCCTGGTTAGTCATGCAAAAGACCTCCCCACAGAACAGACTCTGGCTTACCCAGGCCAAGCGTCCACCTTTAGGACGTGCTAAGCTCTCAAAACCCCAGGAGAAAGACGCTGCCTCCTACCCACAAGGGCAGACTGTCCTCTCTCCTGAAGGAGAAATAGCTGTCCCCAATCAGTACAACATGTCTTGACACCAAACACCACCAGGTAGCCCGAAGAAAGGACCCAGAGGTATGGAGAACAAAGCAGCTCTGCCAAGGTGCTGTCATTCTTCGAGGAGTCTGTAAGAAAGAGACCATTCAGCAATCTGACCGTCCTCCTGCCCCCCTCTGCCTTGGCCCTCGGTCAGACGGCACGCTTCCTCTCTGCTCCTCAAAAGAAGCCTGACTGGTTTATTGATAGATTAGCCTTATAAGTTGCTATATTGATTAGCACACAACTCCCCAATATTCAGACAGTATAAATGGAAGACACACTTATAAGAATAAAAGCAATTCTTCATGAAGAGGGATACTTATAACAAACCTGCATCCCTGGCTTCAGGTCACAGCAAAGTTTCTATGTAGTTCCAGAAGGCCAGGGGGAAGGAGCAGGGAGACACAACGGAAAAGGCTGTTTTCATGGTCCTGAAGATGGTAGTCTCTGATCAAGGGGACATGATCCCCCACACGCTCACCTTGTTTCCCTTTTTGGGGCTGAGAGTCAAGATTAGGCAGTCCCACATCTGAAGGCTCATTCTTAATCAGGAGCAGGCACACCAAGGAGGCAACCACACACAGTGAGCCAGATAGGGTTAGGATAGTGCGCCAGGCATAACTCAGTGCCATCAGCGCTGCCATAATGGGCCCGATCCCTCCGGCCAGATTCATGCTGGTGGAGAGGATAGCCCACCAAGTCCCAAACTGGGAAGGTTCAAACCACTATAGAGAAGGGAGATAGATAGAGATAGAGAGCGCAAAATGAAGTGCATTTCCACATCAATTGTTTAGTATGATTTCCTCAAAGCAGTTGACAAGAGCATTTAATAAAAAAAATAGAGTGGCACTTTTTAGTGGCAACAGACATGGGGGCCTGTGCCTTCCACCTCTCCAAGTTCATGGATACAGATGAGGTCAAGCAATGCAGCAGACACCCCACAAAGCTTACTTCTGGGTTATCAGGGAGCTCAAGTTATGACTTCTACAGTTAGTCCTTGCCTCTGAATGCGGAGTTGTGAGGGAACTTAAGCAGGAGCAGGCAGCCACTGGAGTAACAGTTTCCCAGAAGTGTTTGTAGATTAGACTGGCCTTTGATTTGCATAGTCTTTTAAGGCAGCCAGCTGGCCAGAGACTGCTCCTAGCTACCAAAGGCCCAGCTGTCTCTGAACTAGGCCACTTGCTTAGGCCCAAAGGAGGGGACAAGTATCCCCAAAATATCTGAGAGCAACATGATACGGTTTGCAATTTATAGCTCCTGTTGCCCTTGCCAATTCGAGCCCCTTCGAGAAAAATGACATCTCTGACCAGCAGAGAGCACAGGTGCGGCCTCTGCCTCCCCACAGCTGCAAGGACAGTTCTTGGTTCCATTAAAGAGCTGCAAGCTCCCAGCGCTAGCTCAAAAAGCCAATGCAGCGTTCTCAGCTTGGGGCTCTGCATGGTGAAAGGCAGAGCCAGAGGCTACTCACACAGGGGGGGCACCTTCTGGTGGCTTCCCAGGGACCAAACTGCCCCTGCAGGGAAAAAATTGGCTCGTCCGCTTACCTTGCGTAGCACTTTGCCACAGGGGGGCCAGCCCAGGCCTTGGGCCAGCCCGTTGAAGAACCACAGTCCGGCAAACAGGGCAACGGTGGAACTCCAGGAAAACAGCACGTTGACTAATCCCACCAAGAGGAGGCCGGAAGAGAAGAGCCAGCGGGCACTCAGTTGGTCTGAAAGGACACCACTAACGAACTTGCTAATAGCATAAGCGGCAGATTGGCTGCTGGTGATGAGACCTAAATTGGACAAGAGCCCCGGAACAACCTCAACAGCACAATCGCCAGGACCTGGCCTGAGAGGGGCTCAGACAGGCATCACGAAGAAGGTTTTTCTGTTGAAGTAATACAAGGTGTACCCAACATACATAGCAGTATCCTCTCTCCAAGGATCCCATGAACAAATGGGAGGGAGGGAGGGAGGGAGGGAGGGACACTCACCCAAATCATCTTTGTCCAATTGTACCTCTTCCATGATTGAAGGCATCACGAAGGAGAAGGTTTTTCTGTTGAAGTAGTACAAGGTGTACCCAACATACATAGCAGTGAATATGACAAACCGGTGATAGCTGTAATTCTTTGCCGCCATTGCTGGGTGTGCTTGTGCTTCCGAGGGCTAAGAAACAGATTGGAGGGAAGGAGTTGGCTGTTACGCTTTTAGGAGTCTAAACTGCAGGCACAGCAGAGTTGCTGGCTGAGGGGAGAGGATGGGTGGCAGCCAAGGGTTCAAAAGAGGGAGCCAGCAGCTGCCTGACTGTCTCTCTGTGTCTCTGCCGGTCAGAGACTTTGTTGAAATTCTGGCTGGCTTGATCTCAACCGCGCTCCTGACCGCTTTCTGGAGAATGATTAACTTCAGGGCCAGGCGGGACACAGAGGTCAGTATAAAGGCCCCCACCCACAGTGGGAGCCCCACAGAGCCAGTCTGTAACAAACAGAGTTTGTGTCCAGAATGTAAAGATTAGCCAGGCTTTTTTTCCACTCCCTCGTCCTGACCTCTGAGCTCAAATAGTGCAAGATCAAACAGGGCGGATCAAGGTCTTCCTGGAACAAGCAGCCTCCTGCGTCAGGACTGGCCCTCCTGCCCACCTTCCTTCAGAGCAGCACCTGGCTCTCGGCAGGCCACACTGAGTGCGAAGACCATTCTGCTGCTGCAAGCTGAGAAACACACAGAACGCGGGTCAAATGCCGTCTATTGGAGAAGGCAAGTTCAGCACAAAAATATTTATCTGCTTGGGCATAAGACCATCTGGCACAGCAGACAGATTAAAAATCAGGAAACCCCACCCCCACCCCCATTTCTAGGCAAGAACCTAAGCACAATAACTTTTCATTATACCCTCGAGATGTATCAGCTTATGGACAGAAAAACAAAATACCAGGAGCAAGTGTGCTACAGAGGAGCCATTGATGTAAGAAAATTAGAATCACAGTTCAATTCAAAGCATGGGCAAATAAAATAAAGTCCACCTATGCAGAAGGCTCTCCTTGCAGTCTAACGGCTAAAGATGCGCTGCTCCAGCAGGAGCCTTAATATTTGGTGTCATCACACTCCAGCAGTATGTAGGTCCCAAAGGGCAAAGGTCCTTAAAGGACACTGACAGGCCTTGGAATGCTGCCCAGAAGGAAAGGACAGAAGGAACAGCCAGCCGGTGGAAATGCTTTTAATGCAAGGAAGGGGCTCTCTTACATAGGAGAACAAACCTGCTCCATTTTCTCCTAACACAAATCACATTGGTTCAAAGCCTCCTTTCTTTTGGAAGGAAGAGCTACAAAAATTAACCCTCAAGACAAACTTTTGTTTATCAGCCTTTTTGTTGTGTCCTGAGCCTGCAAAAGCAGGCTCGGGACGTTGCAAGAGTCCCGGGCATTTGCAAAAGCTGCCCGGGACCAGACTGAGTGGCGCCGGCCTTGTGCGCATGCGCAAGGCGGGAAAATACCGCCTCATGATTGGTTGTACTTGCCCGGGGATCAGAAGGTATAAACAGAGGCCTGCGTGCCTCTGCTCGGGTTGTTCGTAGAATGGAAGCAGAGAATAAAGACTTGTTAGAAATGCTTCGTCTCAAGCGCCATTATTCTCCGGACTTAATACTGGCGACGAAGGTGGGATCCAGTCTACACAGCTAGGAAAGCTTGAAGACTCACCCAAAGAAGTCCGGAAGAGAAAACGGCGTGGAAGTCAGCGTTATCCTGCCAGTACGAAATCGCTGGAGGGTGCGTGCAGCTGAAGAAGAAGAAGACCTGATTCTCGATCATGGCGAAAGTTGGGCGTTTAGCGGAATTCGACGTCTCTCACCCCGAGAGGTGGGAATCTTATGTGGCAAGAGTCGAGACGTACTTCCGCATAAACCAGATTCGGGAGGAAGGCTTAAAGGCTGCCACATTGTTGTGCGTTTGTGGGCAAGACGCCTTTGAGATCGCCGAGAGCTTAATCGCCCCGGACTCGTTGGAAACGGTATCAGACGCTGACCTGAAGAAAACTTTAAAGGAACACTTCCAGCCCAAGCAATCTGTCATGGCTTGGAGACACACATTTCAACAGAGAGATCAGCGAGTTGGAGAATCAGCAAAAGAATACGTTGCGGCCTTGAGAAGAGCAGCTAAACCAGTGGTTCTCAACCTTTTTAATGCCGCGACCCCAACCGGTCGTAAGTCGAGGACTAAACCGGTCGTAAGTCGAGGACTAAACCGTAAGTCGAGGACTAAACAGAGCAGGCCGACCACCAGCTGGCCCAGCCCAAGGGAGGTAAGGCACCCGCCGGAAAAGGGGGGGGGAAAATGGCGGACAAAAAAAATGGAGGACAAAAAAAATGGAGGACAGCCTTGCTTGGCGACCCCCGTGAAATGGTCGATCGACCCCAAATGGGGTCCCGACCCACAGGTTGAGAACCACTGAGCTAAACCGTGCGACTTCAAGGACTTAGAGGAAAGACTGCGCGATCGTTTTGTGTGTGGACTGAGGAACACAGAAATACAGCAGAGACTGTTCGCCAGGGAAGATGTCTCCTTCCAAGATGCTCTGCGAGAGGTTTCGGCTGAAGAAGCTGCAGGTGGGGCAGTCAAGAACATGCGGCCTAAGCGAAACGTTCCAGAGACTGCCACTATTCACAAGGAAGACGTGCGCGAGGATTCGAACGAAGATCCTGAAGAAGAGGTGGACAAGCTTTACCAAGCAGCTGGGAGAAGGTCCAAAATCGTCAAGACAAGGGCCCAGCTGAGCTTTGTTGCCTCGGATGTGGGGGACGCCACAAGCGAGCGGAATGTCGGTTCCGTTCCGCCATTTGCCGAGCGTGTGGAAAGAAGGGCCACATCGCTGCGGTCTGCCTGGGTCGACAGAAGGTACAACCGAAGGTAGAATTGAACCTGAAAGGTACCAGGGTGCGCAGCCAAAACAGGGTGGGGTTCTGTGCAACACGCCGGAACATTTTAAGAATAGGCACACACAAACCCCTTAAAAAGAAACTAACACTTAAAGTGAAATTGCAGGGAATTCCATTATCGATGGAACTTGACATGGGGTCTGCCCTATCCATAATCTCCCTCAATACATTTCACAAAATCTGCAGCAGCAGTGGCCAGAGAGTTTCGTTAAGGCCCTCTAATGTAATCCTTACGGATTTCCAAAATTCTCAAGTGTGCGTTAAGGGGGAGGCCACCCTTAAGGTACAGTACAAGAATTTTGCAGGCCCCCTAGACGTGTTGGTTGTGGGGGGT